AAAATAATTGAACTTTTCTTACAAAATCAGATGAACTTTTTGTCGATGTATGAACTTTAAAAAAATAAATTGATGATTTTTTTTCAATTTTGATGAACTTTTTTTAAAAGTTGATGAACTTTTTTTCAAAAGCGATGAACTCTTTTAAAAATTGATGAACTTTTTCTAAAAATTAGTGAACTGTATTCAAATTTGTGATTTTTTTTTAATATTAATGAACTATTGTTCAAAATCGTTGAACTATTTTTAAATCTATGAACTTTTTTGAAAATCAACAAACTTTTTTTATGACATGAACTCTTTTTTTTTCTAATTCGTGATGTTTTTTCAATCTGTGAACATTCTGAATTTGCTCACATTTTTTTTAAAAAGAAGCCACATTTTTCTAAATAATGCGGCTATAGTTTTGGTTTAATACGTTTCACGTTGAAAACTTTCACATGGGCGTTATAGCTTTAGTGGTCAGCCAACCATGCACCTTTGCTGGTGGTTTTTCTCGCTGTTATACATTTTGCACTGTCAGCGTGTTCATGGGCTGGCCCACTAGCGTGCTGCTGTGGGCGCCTGTCGCCTCAGCCAACGCATAAGGCGCCCGTTAGGAGCTCCCGGACGCGTCTATGTCGAACCTCACGCGTAACAGAGCGCAGCCTCACCTGAAGGCGAGCGCCAAACTGGCGGCCCAGATGCGCGAGAGACCACACGCCACAGCCTTGTTTTTTTCCGTATCTTTTCCACTTTTTTGTTTCGTTTTTTGCTTTTCTTTTACTTTTTTTGTACTTGCAAATAATATACATATAGATATATATAGATATATATTTGAAAAATGTTATTCAAGCATTTGGGCATGTATTTAAAAGATGTTAATCCCGCATGTGAGTAATGTTTACTATGTATACGAAAAATGTACAAAACAATACAATGTGTATGAAAAATGTTGATCATGTTTTACACATTTTTTAATAGCAATAAATATTTTTTTGACAAAATATGCATATTTTGTAGACATCAGGAACAATTTATATACATGCATAATATTTTTTCAATGCAAAATTATTTCTTTTAAAATGTGTTTTATGGTGTCTACTTTTTTTTAATGTATGTGTATGTTTTAGATCTTTTGTATGCATAATAAAAAATTATATACAAATTTAACATTTTAAAAATATATGATCAACATTTTTCATATGAACAAAAGAAAGATAAAGAAAATAAAAAACAAGAAAATATAACAAGGAACATCAAACAAAAAGAAAAAAGAAAAAACAAAGAAAGCCACCGCAAAAAAAATGGAAAACAATGGAAGCCGAGAAATAAACAAAACAAACGATGAAAAACAAAAAAGATACACAAAAAAACCAGAAAAAAGAAGTATAACAGAAAAAATCATTGAAAACCAATAAAACAAAAATAAATCAAAGAAAATGAACAAAAGAAAATAAATGATTAAGAAACAAAAGAAAAAATGTGAAAGAAAAGAAAACTGAACTAAGAAAACTTTTGAAGAAACAAATAAACCGGAAAGTGATCAGGAGGGAGCGCGTGTCACGAGCAAGCGAGCGAAAAAAATCATAAAAATGGCCGGCCCTTTTGCTATGCGAGAGAGTTGTTCCTACATGTGAGAGAAGCTACCGACTTGCGTGAAACGAGAAATACCACTTGCGAAGTTTTTGGAGCCCAAATAATGGAAAACATGTTTTATTCGAAAATTGGCCGACCCAAATAATGCAGATCGATCCTTAAAACAAACTTCCGGATGTTGTTCCTACATGTGTGAGAAGCTACCGACTTGCGTGAAACGAGAAATACCATCGGCCGACCCAAGTAATGCAGATCGATCCTAAAAACAAACTTCCGGAAGTTGTTCCTGCATGTGAGAGAAGCTACCGACTTGCGTGAAATGAGAAATACCACTCGCGAAGTTTTTGGAGCCCAAATAATGGAAAACATGTTTTATCCGAAAATCGGCCGGCCCTAATAATGCAGATCGATCCTAAAAACAAACTTCCGGAACGTTTTTGTGATGCTCAAGAAAAAAATGTTAACTGTTCTTGTGATGCTCGACCAAACGCACAGGGTCGAGCACACTTGGCTAGCGCAATTAACTGTTCTTGTGATGCTCAAGAAAAAAAATGTTAGCTGTTCTTGTTCGTTCTGTTTTGGGAACTTTTCCTGTACGGCTTTACCTGTTTTGAACCTTCTAGAAGGTTCTTTGAACAAATGCTTTCTTTTTTCTTTGTTTGGTGCACTTCTTTTCTCTTGCTATTTTGTTATTGTGTGTTTTTACATTTTTTTGCATATTTGTAGTTCAGAAAATAATTTTAAAAATTAATCTGAATTTTCACAAATATATTCTGGTTTTCTAGAAAATGTTTAAAATTTCAAATTATGTTTGCAATATTCAAAATTCGTTCACATTTCTGAACGAACAATTTTTTTTAAAAAAGTGCATTTTAAATAACTGTTTGTGTTTTCAAATATATTTCTTATTTTTTTAAATGCTTTTTAAACATTTATTCGAAAACTCAAAATTGTACGTGTTATCAATAAATGTAAGAGAATTTAAAATAATGTTCATTTTTTTAATAAGTTGTTCATAATAAAAAAAGTCCTGTTTTCTAAATTTGTTTAGATTTTTTCAAAAAATAGCGTTACAGAAATTTGTTCATGACTAATACAAATTCAAATTATGTTTCCTGTTTCCTAAATTTGTTTGGATTTTTTCAAAAAGTAGCTTTACAAAAATATTGTTTACAATTAAAAAAGTTCATCATTTCCAAAAAAATAGTAATTTCCAAAGGTTTTCGCTTTCAAAAAGTGGCCTCAATTTCTTTTTGCCAAATTTCTATTTCTCTAGAGCACATTTGTTACGGTAGAGTGCTTGGGTCTTTCGCCGCAATTTTTTTTGAACATCAGTATAGACGCAAGCGCTTATACATATGCGCATATACTCACCCCTATGAACGCACACATGCACATCCTTACCCCTAGGGGCACCTTCGAGAGACTGAGCCGGCATGTCATCTTGAGATTTACGAAGTCACCGTATGTGCCTCGCCGTCGACAGGAACGTCTCCTCCCAATGAAAGCGCATCGCCGGAAATTCTGAAATAAATCCAGAAATAATGCCAGCACCATGACTTGAACCCTGGTGGGCTGAAGATACCACTGTCCCTCTAACCATCCAACCACAGGTTGGTTCACGTCTCTCGCCGCAAACGATAAGTATCGCTTGTAGCGAGTGCATGGGCAACTAGTTTACTGTAGTGCGAGAGTGGGCCAGCCTTGGTTCGTACAGTCTACCTTAGGGTTTGGTTTTTCCGGTTCTAGATTTCTTTTACCTTTTCCTTACTATTCTGTGTTTCTGTATGGTTTCATTGGTGTTTCCTATTTAAAATTTTGTTTTTATGTGTTTTCAATCCATTTCAATTTATGATTTTTCTTATTTCACTAAACGATCCACAAACATTTTCAATATTTCGAACATTTTTCACATTTGTGAGCACTTTTTTAAATTCTCGATTTTTTTAATTTGAGGACATTTTTTGAATCCGTGAACATTTTTTTGAGTTTGCATGATTCGTTTGTCCAATTAGCGAACATATTTCAAATTAATGAATATTTTGAAATCGCAATCATTGTTTGAATACTTGAACATTTTTTTCCAGTTTGCATGATTTGTTTTTCAAATTGGGACTATTTTTCTAATTAGTGAACAGTTTGAAATGCCCAATTACTTTTTGAATGCATGAACATTTTTCGCGTTCGCGTGAACTTATTACAAATTTGCGGTCATTTTTCATGTTTGTGATATTTTTGAATTCACAAATATTTTTAATCCATGAACTTATGTTTGAGTTCTCTTGAAAAAATTTCAAGTTTGTGAACAATTTTTAAATTTATAATTATTATTCTCCAACATTTTTTGAATCCATGAATAATTATTGAATTCTTGAACATATTTGGAATCCGCATCTTTTTTTAAAATTTGTGAACTTTTTTCTCGAGTTTGTGTAAATTATTTTGGAATCCATGAATTTTTATTTAAAAAACCGCGGACATGTTTATAGTGATTTTTTTTTAAATAAAACCGGTGGGTGGTTCACGTAGAAGGATACGTTTCCCCAAAGGACAACATGGGGTTTCGTCATGTTTCGCTGTATGTGCTTTACACATTTGGACGGATAGAAAGTGCCACATTTTCACTGGAGCCTAAGTTAGCACCTATAGGTGCTTTTTTTTTGCTGGAAATGCTTTCGATTTATTTATATTTAATCATGATAGTACAACGAACACTAGAAATAATAAAAATTAAATTCAGAATTAGCCTCCGTTGTTGCTTTGTACATAGCCATTACCTTTACATTGGATACGTTTATGGCGTATTCACTTTTTTGTTTTTCTTTAATCTTAAAACGGCAGTGGTCCCCCACTCCTATGAAACAGGAACTCGTTTTCACCGCATACAAGTGGTGCCAAAGTGCTGAAACGTGCGTCTCAAAAAAGAAGTGCTGAAACGTGTGATATCTGAGCCAGAGACGTCTAATCTTCTCTCAGATTAGTTGCTCTGTAAGTATGTTTAGTGCTGAAGATTTTTTTATTTTTTTTGCATGTATAGCTCTGAAGGATTTGGAAAGACATCTTTGCGTTGCATCGCACTCAGGTACTGGGATTCTCTAACTTAGGTCACTGACATGACGGTCCTTTAACAAACTGGCCCACATACCAGTGACCCGAAGTTACGTGACTGCAGAGCAAGCTGCAGTAATCTGCTCTGCTCTCTCAGACTCTCAGTCTCTCTACTTACTCTGCACACAGAATACATAAATAGTAGTACTGTCCATGTGTTCTTCCCTCTCTTCGTTAATTGCACACCTCTCTCTTCTTCTTCTTCTCTCCGCAACTACTTCCTTCGTCTACTCGATCTCGCTTCTGAGCAGGCACGGCGGTCTCGAGTCGATCGAGCTCATCCACTGCATTGTTCGCTCCATCCGGCTGATCCGATGGGCAAGAAAGGTGCCCTCACCTCCATCTTCTCCAGGTCCTCCAGCCTCGCTAGCGACTCGTCCACGGCGGCCGTGATACCCTGGCCGTGGCCATCCTGCCGGGACCCGCAGACCGACTCCTTCCGTGCCGCCGAGGAGCCCTGCGCCACGGCTGCTGGTGGCAGCAGGTGCGGCCCTGTCGCCGCGAGGCACCGCAAGCTGGTGGGTGCCCCCGCCGAGATGTACAAGACGGTCAACTCGGTCTACATCGACCCCGACGACGGCGAGTCATTCTCTTGCCTTAGCGCGGAGGAGGAGGAAACGGTTGTGGTGGAGGACGACGGCTTCTCGACGCCCGAGGATGAGTGGTCGGAGGCTGTGATCCGCAGCCTCAGCCGGACGACCTCGTCCACCGGTCGCTTCTTCTTCGACCAGGGGCCAGCGACCAACTCCATCCTGTCCGCGGCGGCGGCCTCGACAACCGGCAGTACACCACCGGAGGAGGAGAACGACAAGCCGGCGGCGCTGTCCAAGAACGGGAAGCCAGGAGATGGTGGCAAGTCGCTGGTGGTGGAGGAGAGCGTGGCGGTGCCAATGGACTCGGCGGACCCGTACGGCGACTTCCTGTCGTCCATGGAGGAGATGGTGGCCGCGCACGAGCTGCGCGGCTGGGACGCGCTGGAGGAGCTGCTGGTATGGTACCTGCGGGTGAACGCCAAGCACCACCACCCGCTCATCGTCAGCGCCTTCGTCGACCTGCTCGTCCGCCTCACCACCAGCGCCACGGCAAGCACCTCGACGACGACAATGACGATGACGTCGAGTAGTAGCACCAGCAGCTCGAGCAGCGGCACGAGCAGCACGAGTACTACTAGTAGCAGCACGAGCACGAGTACTGGTGGCGATGGTGTGGTTGTTAGTGCTACATCAGCAACGGGACAATGCGACGGCGGGAATGAAGCTTCTGCGTCTTGCTCGTCGTCTTCTTCGTGCGCCCCGCGTGACGACGACGAGGCCAGTCGTGGGGAAGACTAGCCACTCGACTAATCATAGATTAGACGACAATCGGCAAGTAATCTGCATGCATGTGATTTTGGCTTTTGGTCCGGGCTAATCAAGCAACTAACAAGTTTTTCTTTCTTTTGTGGCGGGGAAGCAACCGAGCTGTTCATTGATGCACTCGTGCTTGGGTTCGTATGCACTTTTCTTTTCTTGATTGATTAACGATCCCATGAGTCGCTGGGTTAAGAAAACACTAATTTGGAGCGAGCACATGCCAAACCGGTCACCGACATGAGCTGGTTTCGCCGATCTCGATGACACCAACTAGCAATGCATAATGGCTTGCGTGCACAGTGCTGAACAGTACATGGAAAGCCATGATTTCTGCGAGAAACCGACGCTAGCCAGCGACCACCATGACGAGTCATACTCGTCGTCGAGAGCGATGCTCGGGTTCAATGCGACCAGGGAACAGTGTTTTCCCCCCTCCTCGGTTGCCCCTTCATCAATGCATGCGTGCGTGTACACAAGCTGCACGCCGCAGAACTGGACCTTCAGAGCAAGTATATTACTTCCTCCGTTATAAAATAGATGACCCAAATTTATACTAATTTTATACTAAAGTTAGTATAAAATTGAGTCATCTATTTAGGAACGAAGGGAGTAATAGTAAGCTTCATGAAGACTTTTTTTTAAATTGAAAATACATTTTCAAGACTTCAATAAAAGTCTGAAAAGAACATACACGGGTAAGGCGGACGCCTACAACAAACATTATAATTATCCACGGATGTGTTTACGGACAGTGATACGAAAGCCGGAATTCCAAGCCCATCTGTATACATTTCAAGTGGAATTTGAACAAACTGAACGGTTTTCATGCAAACCGGATGATTTTCATTTAAACCATGCGGTATTCATTACATTTTTGACATATTTTGTTAAACAAAAGCAGTTGGACCCTAACATGGTCTAAATATTCGTCAGCACCCATCCTTCAAGTCCTTGTTGTTTTCTTCCGTGTTCATGTCTGACGGTCATGAACCCCAAGAAGTGAAGGCGCAGTCGACGGCGGGTAAGTGTAGGACAGTGTAGGACATAGGACATGGATTAGCCCACATGGGACACGGGGTGCGCCGTCTTCCCTGCCCAACTCCTACTCGTCGGAGTCCGAGACTTGTGCGTCGTAGGTGGAGGTGAGGTCGACGATGGATGTGGACGGGCTGGCCTCGTCGACGTACCAACGCTAATGACGCCCAGCTACTGGCGTTTCCGTCCGCGGCCGCCGCCTGCGCGTCCGGCGATGCCGCGCGAGCGCTACGCGCGACCTCATAGAGGGCCCACTGCTCCTTGACGAAGTTCAAATTCTCCGCGGCCATGGACGCCACGGCCTCGACGATCGCGAACTCGCCGTATCTTTGGCCCTCGGCCAACCAGTGATGCGTGAGGATGGAGAGGTTGTACCGCTGCTCCTTCGGCGCCCCCGCGCGGGAGTGCCAACTACAGCGCCGACTGCTCCTGCGCCATGATGGAGTCGAAGTGCGCATGGGCTTGCTCCATGGTCAAACCGACATGGATAGGAGCGGGCACGGACTGTGGCTCATCGGCGGAGGCGTCTTCCATCGTCGGGTTGTCATCGCTCACCTCCGGCATGCTCATTGGCAAGCATGCATCTATTCATCGTGCACGACGGCCCTTGCCATCCGGCCGCAAGGCTCGCCACATCGTGCTTCTGCTCCGTTGAGAGGCTCTTCCACATCACCTTAGAGCTCGTGATCATGGTAGAAGTGGTGCAAGTGGGAGGACTGGAAGCAGACATGTTTGTCATGTGGTTAGTGCCTGGCAAGGCTGTGTTTAAATAGCAGATGTCGGCCAGGACAAGCGTCAGAGTTGTTTTCTCGGCGGTCACACCTGTGTAATGCCAGACGGATGGGAAACCGGCTAAAATGCGGTAGGTAGTCGTCATGTCTCGTACAGTCATGTCGCACCGACATTGAACAGGCGCAGAGACCGGGACATAAGGGGCGCTCTGAGCCAGCACGAATGTCGCGCTGGCGCACGTGGACCGGCATGAATGTGTCGCAATCATTTCATGCATGAGAGGGTGCGAACACAAGAGAGATTTTTGGGTGGGACCGTGGTGGCGGACACGTGTGTGTTAGCGATCCAGACGACCACAAAGCCTACTGGTTTGTGTCCTGTTTGCAGAAAAGCGGACATCCAGACCAGTCCGCAAACCGATGGGGTACCGTGTTCGACGGCAAACTACGTCCGTATGCGTGCGTTTTGATGGTCTGCGTTGAAGATGCACTAAGGGTGTGTTTGGTTGCAGTTCGCTACAGTACCCACATTGCATGTTGTAAGGGCATATTTCTCCCTATGTGGTTTTGGTGATTGATGACAGTACATTTGCGGACTAATCGTGTGCATTGAGCATTTCTGTGATCTCATGCCTAGGCACAAGACGATTCGGTGCCCCTCGAAGCCTATCAAAGATGGTGGTTCTCTACGTTTCTTTTTGATGAATTTGAGTCATAGGAAAGCCGTACTATTAAGAGGGGGTCCGCTTCGGAAAGGTTAGGATGGAATCAACACGTACACATCTGTTCCTTTGCACCACCTTTCCTTCGCTTCATTGGACCACCATCCGTTTATCCTTGTCGCTGCAAGATGAAGGCCTCCAAGTGCTATAGGTTCTATGGCGTGCGGTAGTACTGCTCAAGGGAGCAGTAGTACCGCAGGGGCCCGCGGTAGTACCGCTCTAGCTAGCGGTAGTAGCGCTCCTCGCGAGCGGTAGTACCGCTGCCTCTAGCCCAGAACGCTGGCGCACGCGGAAGTAATTTTTTACCTCCGCCCCTATGCGGTCTACCGCTCCCGGCGAGCGGTAGTACCGTGCCGGATTTTCGCACGTCCCAAACTCAACGGAAGTAGTCACAAACGAAATTTATTTAGTCCATGCTTTTTCCCAGCCCTGTTGAGCCCTCCCCTGTGGTAATACCGCAGGGGTGCGCGGTAGTACCGCTCCGGCGGTTCTACCACTCGTTGCCTAGTGCAACAGGACCTCACTTGGCTTCTACCGCACGAGCGGTAGTACCGCAACAAGGTGCAGTAGTACCGTAGCGCCTTGCGGTAGTACTGCGAGCGTGTGCGGTAGTACCACGTCTCGCGGGCTGAGTGGGTGGGTAACGGTTGTATCTTGTCCCCCACTATATAAAGGGGGTCTTCTTCCCCAAGAAGACCACCTCTCCCCTTCCCAAGCTTCATTGTTGATCAAAGCTCCATTTTCACCCGATCTCTCTCCCTAGCCAATCAAACTTGTTGATTTTTTTAGGGATTGGTTGAGAAGGCCTCGATCTACACTTTCACCAAGAGAAATTTGATTCCCCCCACTAATCCCTTGTGGATCTTGTTACTCTTGGGTGTTTGAGCACCCTAGACGGTTGAGGTCACCACAGAGCAATATGCCATTGTGGTGAAGCTTCATGGTGTCGTTGGGAGCCTCTGATTAAGTTGTGGAGATTGCCCCAACCTTGTTTGTAAAGGTTCGATTGCCACCTTCAAGGGCACCAATAGTGGAATCACGGCATCTCGCATTGTGTGAGGGCGTGAGGAGAATACGGTGGCCCTAGTGGCTTCTTGGGGAGCATTGTGCCACCACACCGCTCCAACAGAGACGTACTTCCTCTCAAAGGGAAGGAACTTCGGTAAGACACCCTCGTCTCCACCGGCTCCACTCTTGGTTATCTCTTACCTTTACTTGTGCAAGCTTATATTGTGTTGTATCCCTTGGTTGCTTGTGTGCTAGTTTTTGTTGCATCATATAGGTTGCTCACCTATTCGCATATCTAGACAACCTACTTTGATGCAAAGTTTAATTTGGTAAAAAAGCAAAAAATTGTTAGTTGCCTATTCACCCCCCTCTAGTCAACTATATCGATCCTTTCAATTGGTATGAGAGCCTCGTCTCTTTATTAAGGACTTTGCCGTATGAAGAGTATGGTTGACACCATAGACGAGGTGGAGGAGCACCCCGGTGCGAGTCCCCCTTTGTCTGCGGCCGATGGGGGATCCTCGGTCTCTCGTGAGGAATTTAATGTGGCGTTGGACACATTAAGAACTTCCATGATGGTCGAGGTCAACGGCATGCTTAAGAATTTTCTTGATGGTCTTAAAGTTTCCACTGCATCGTTGGAAGTGGTCGATCCCACTAACAAGGTGACTGATACTAACTCCAACAAGGGGGAAGCTACTACCGATCAAGTTCCTTTGACTAGTGGTAGAAGTGGAAATGGCATCTTTGCCCATGTTGAACCTCCAATTAGTTATGGAGGACCGGTTTCCTCCACGCATATGAATCATGTTGGTCCTCCTCCCAAGCTTTTGAAAAATGAGGATTTTGCCGCTTGGGTCTATCGCTTCAGACTTCATTTAAATCATAGTTCTACTAATCTTTGGAGAATTGTTGAGAAAGGTTTCTACCCGCATGACCCAAGCAACTTCACTCCTAGAGAAGCCGCGGATCATCAATTCAACGAGTCCGCTCTCTTTGTTCTCCAAGAAGCAATTCCACCCGAAGATATTGCGCATCTCCGTCCTTTCACCGTGCCAAGGAAGCATGGCAACATGTTGTTTCCATTTACAAGGGAAGCGCAAGCATTCAACGCTCAAACTTTGAAGTGGTGCAAGATGAAGCCGACGAGTTTGCAATGAATGAACATGAAGAACCTTGAGAGCTTTACCGGAGATTAATCACTCTCGCGGTCTGAGGATGGGATGCTCTCAAATGACAAGTGTCAGTTTATCTCGGAGCAGCCAACCAGCTAGTGGTTGTAGGGGGCGGCTATTTATAGCCTAGGGAGAAGCCCGACATGATAAGACATAAATGCCCTTCAATGATATGACCGTTAGGTGGGTAGATATTTTGGGACAGCTGGCGCATAGCACAGCAACGATCAGAAATTTGAGTATCAAATTCCTCAGGGCTATCATGTTCCTCACCGTGTAGGTAATCCACACTGGCGAATTCCTAACTC